CAGACATAGCACAGCTCAAAAAGGTCATGTTTATATTATTCCAGCATTTCCTCTTTCCTTTCTGAGAAAAGTGGACTGCATGAAACGGATGTTTCTGACCTGAGTTGAAGGCACACTACTGCATGTGAAGTTTTTCCTGGTAATATCTTATCTCGAGGGCAATTTGGAATAGGCAAGCTCGAGTTAATTTTTCAAAGATTAATAAAGTTCGCGATCCTCGAAAAATTCGTGGGTCAAAGCGGGAAAATATTCTTGTAAAAAGACATGTGGATTCAATTCGTCTTAAAGTATTTCAGCTCACTGATTCATCGCTATTCGTCAGTTGCCAGATATTAAGCACTTAGCCACCTATGTACTTGGTGTCAAATCTAAAAAATTGTGTCTGCTTTCATGTCCAATCTGTAACCGGTTCACTGTTACAATTCCAGTCGACTTCCGATGACTCGAACCCTCTCTAACTCGCCAACTCGTACCAAAATTGATCATGATTTCCCCTTAATGTCTGTCATAGATTTATTACAATTTTGTCCTAGATAACTCAAATCTCCTGCTACCCCTTCAGGGAATTCTCTTTATATTTTACCTTCGATAACTCGAATTAAGGTGAACTACGTCCTCCAATACGTGACAAAACAAAACAAACATTGTACAGCAGTCCAGACCATTTAATTTATTTTGAAGCAGCCATTTAATCTTTTCTTAAGGATGTTTGTTGTACCTTTTCCGGTCAAAAAAACCAGAGACGTAGCTAGTACGTTTTAGGGTATTTTTCGCTCAGTAAAACGCCTGAAATAAGCATCACTAGTGAGGACGATGTAATAATCTGACTTGAGCCTCTAGAGAGCATCGTTACATATTTTCACAAAAAACTAGACCACAATTATAAGGACATATATAATTTTGGGCGACTTGCCACAATATTTCGAATTTGTGCGATGGATGCTGCCATCCTCTCTTAAAACCGTTTGAACTAGACCGGTTTTTCTTAAAGTGTGTCTTCTGTTAAACTTTATTTCTTGGTAAAAGAGATCACAAAACATAAGCGAAAAAGGAATCCCACAAAATACTTAATAAAAGCCGATGTAATCGAAGAAGAGGGTCTTCCGCTCTCTAATATAATACATGCAAAACACAGGCATCCTCGGGACTTCCCCGCTTCAAAGTGAATATTACCTGTGAGGTGTGAGGTTGGTGAGACTGAGCCCCTACAAGAAAAATCGTGTTGGTTTTTCAATTCTTCGTCAAATTTTTCAGCCCTTTCTCCTCTGCTGGTACCTACATCAACCAGATGAAGAAACGCAATTCGGAAAGGCTAGAGAGGTGAGCTAAGGAGATCTCATTAACATCATTGACGATATGCTTGATTACTTTAACAAAACGGGCCAAGACTTACGCCATCTTCGACGAATGTTTCTTGAGCAGAAACTTCCAATCACATGATCGTGATAAACAAGGGTCATACCAAATGGTTTATCACCAAAATGCTACCTCTCGATCGAACAGTGCAAAGTCGCTCCGAGTAATTATATGTGTACATAGAATATAAAAAATATTATGTCGTCCGTGTCGCTAACTTCGCTTTCTACGTTGGTTGGAAAATCACAGGGCTGAAAGTGACATTAGGACGAGAAATAGAAGAGTAGCATAATTTCTATTAGAATTACTCTGATGATAATTTGAAAAACTTTCGATTTCGTGTTTCATTCCAAGAAAACTCCCGAATTTTAGGTAAAGCTCAACAGACAAAGAAACCACACTCGTCAAGGCATCAGTTTAAATGGATACGAATAACATATCACGACAAGAGCGAATTGTGGTTTCTAAACCGAACGTATTCGGCGGATTTTCTGGGAAACTGTTCGTTTTCTTTCGCAATCAAAGAAGCATGTACGAAGAGTTTTCGAAATCTATTTATAAGTTAGACACAATCATAGGTTTTTAAAATGTTTTCGAAATTGGGGTCATCAAAATGGTTTACTCGCTTTGTAAAGGTAAAATTCGACGATCTCACTGCGTTTAGATGGGTAGAAAGCTTCTGAAAAGCTACGGCGAGATCCTAGAAAGACAGCTGCTTTCCAAAAATACAGATAAGCGCAGGCTATTTAATTCTACCGATTTTCCTACCCAAGGAACCATTGGCCCAATTTGGTTACGACCCACCACACTTGCGGAAGTCTTTACAATGCTAACTTACGCGAAACGGGAAAAATTTGCATTTTTCAAGTACAATGATACAACTTTAATCGAAACTAAAATCTCTGAATCGCCAGAGTTTTCTTTTGAGATATATTCGCTTCTCTGTTTAGTGTTTTCGTTTAATGTATTTTAGGATCTTATTTTACAAGTTTGTTTTTCCAGCTTAAGGTTGTTTACATTTTCAGCAACAAACTTTATTTCAACTGGCTGCTTTTCACGACAGGGAATTATATCGCCCTGAAGCCAAAATAGATTCGTTGTGTTTCTGACAAAACGAAACAATAATATCCTGTGTGTAACAAAATTCCGAACGGAACTTTTTTTCAGTCAGCCAAAACGAGTGTTCACTGTTCACGTTTAACATCTGATCGTTAACAGTCGTAGTGACTCGTAGTGTCACTTCCATTTTTTTTTTAATTCGAATGGTGGTAGTCAATGCAACGATGCTGAATAAAAACTAAGCACAGCAGTTTTTAAATTCAAATTTCTGTGTTGAAGGTGAAAATCGATTGAAAGACCTCGAGTAAATTGCTTATGGTCTCATTTTGTCAGATTGCTGCGGTAGCTTCCAAGAAGCCACAGACTTTATAAGTTACTTTCGTACTTACATTGCTTGTTTACCTAGTTATTATTCACTTTACTTCCACCTCTCCAGTAGCGTTGAATCTGTGAAAACGAGCAGCAGAGCTTTAAAACTCTCGTGCTTGCAACACTGTTGTGCAACCTGTCAAAGCGCACAATGCCATCGGGTAGTCAGTCTATTACAATTACAAATGCTTCTCTGGTAAATAGCAACAATATTTGGCTGGATGCCCGGTGAATGTTAACTACTTAAGTGGCTGTAACCTACTATTTTTAGTAAATCACGCACTAAGTTTCAAATTTCGGCGCCAAAATCGTTACCTCGTTCTAATAAATTAGAGAGTCGCCATTCCGCACCGTGAGCAATTTCCACTTCTACCAAACTGATGATTCCTCTATGGTAGATATCAATTATGATTTTTAAAGCTTTGTATTTGTAAAATTTGTAGCTTATTAGCGTTGATATTTCACAAAGCACATCTTCAAACATACATATGCTTACATGTATGAAAGTGTAACACAATAGGCGCCAATTTACCCTTGCTTTGAGAATGGAATATGTGCTGAAGACTTGTTAACAGACTGTGTATGTGCGATCTTTCTTAATTAGTGAGATGTAATGCACTGGGCCGAAAGCTGCTGATGCGTCCTGGAAAACGGATGAACGAGGTAATAAACTTTTAAAAATTTGCAACAGACGCTTACCATAGTGTTAATTAATTTTTAACTTGTAATTCTGCGCGTGTTTCTGTGATTGCTTTCTTAAAACATGTTATGAGAAAGTTCACTTAAGTGTTTCACAAGCGAGTGAAAATCTTCAGTTTTATGTCCGGTTGTGGACCTTGCGGTGTAAAGTAATTCTGTAATTTGCACTTGTGTGGATTTAATGAATCAATACATCGGCTGAGTGAAAGAAAATTGCGTCTTTAAGCGATGAAATGCAAACCTGTTATTTGAAAAATAATCCAGCGCTGCAGTTGTGCTGTTTTAATCGTCAATTTACGGAGTCAAATGCGTGACATGACACTCAACTTTAAGCGTGACTTGAGTGTATCTAACAGAGGGAAACTGTGTATCTGAAAAGAAATTAAAGAAAATGCTTTGTACTATTGTACCAACAATGTTTTTTACAGTAAGGGAGTGAACGTCAAAATTGCGATGGCGCTCAGTAGTAAATACTATGCTAAGGATTGGAAATTCCGCGATTTCTGTCTGCTGATAAGATCAATGATAAAAGAAACATAGATAAATTTAGTAATGATATACTGTATACACAAAGGGAAACGTGAAGCAACCGTTGGATGACTCGTGATAACTAGTGAGCACCGGCACAAGTCGACTTAAAAAGCACACGCGTGAATCAGCAGTGGAGGATCGAAAACGCGAATTGGCGATATTTTCTGTAACAATTAAAGTCCAGTGTTGAGCTGCCAGCTTCGCATTCGCATGATAAAAAAAGAAAGAAACTTGACGATCCAGTGCAAAATTTTGACATGAAAATAGCTAGTCGAAAAACCGCGCAAAATAGTTCGTTTGATCCAGTAAAAAAACTCCATTGATCAGTAGCATTTTCTAATACAACCACCTCTCACCCCTCCCTGAGTAACAACAGTCTATCTCCCACCCCTCCTTGAGTACTAATGGTCTGCTATCCCCCGATAAAATGGTTAAAAAAAAATGAAAGGTCCTAAAAATGGTCCAAAACTTTGTCTAAAAAATAGCCCAAGAAATAGTCCAATAGTCCAATAGTCCAAGGGTCCAATGGTCCTGTCCATATTTTACCTATGCTGTGGAGGCATAGATTAAATCATAAAATAACTGATTAGCGTAATAATTGTTCACGATCCACAGCCCATTGATCAGCCTCAGTGACTTAATTAAATATAGACACAATTAGTAAATCGCATAATTACGTCCGATCTAAGAAAGAATCAGCGGGCTTATGTTCTTAAACTTTATAGTTTTTGTTGGTTTTGTCCTGTCAACTGATCCAAATGTAAACAAACTCAGGAGTGTTGGGTGACATAAGGTAACGGAATGTACATATGAGTAATAATGTTGCCCAGACATCTCTATCCATTTCACTTCTACAACCAACGGGCTCGTTACAAACGTCACGTAACAACTGATTAGTGGAGTCAAATCTTGGATGGGCTCGAACAAGGAAACTTTCCCTTACTCCAAATGAACCAGCTGTTTTCTCTATCCTAGAAACAAGGAAAATGGATCCCCCAAACAGAATCGAATTCCTTATGTTAACGGTTAACTATCTGGAAAAGGGGAACTTAGTTCAAGCGAAAGAATCATTACGAAAGAATCACCAGTATTTTCAAGACTTGTCGCCATGTAAGTTGTCAAAACCCACTTTACAGGAGATAGAGATAGTAAACAAGGCAGAGAAAATATCGATAGAGAATGTGGCGTGGAGTCTTCGAACTGGAGTAATTTTGTTGCCCCAGACGTCTGCTAAGAACAACTTCTTTGTCCGCTTCGCCAATGTAGTTGGTGCTGTTGCTTTAATCACGATTTGTGTTGATATAGCTGAGAAAGTATTTGAACAGTTAAAAGAGTACATTGAGAATGTTGAAGACGAAGAATCAGTTATTAGCCTTGGAGTTGCCCTTAACAACTTAGGTTGTGTGTATATTAGGAAAGGACATTTTCAAAACGCAAAAGTTAGTCTTCAAAGAGCGCTGGCGATATTTGAGGTAGTCAAAACAGGAAAAGAGTGTATCACTGTCAAGGAGAAAATAGCAGCAATAACAAATAACTTACGACTGGTGCATCAGGCTCAGAGGAGCCATGTAGCTGACATGCAATTACAAAACGATCTCCTTTCTGATGTAAGCCGCTTTGCCATTCAACCAAGAATCACTGCAGTTGTTGATTACAATAAAGCCCTGACCTCTTTGGATAACAGGAATCTTAGAAAATCTTTAGACGAACTTGAGAATTTAAAAGCATTTTGTGAAACAAAATTACACCAAAACAAGGGACTGTTAATCTGCATTTTGTTAAAAATCCGTTTAGTTTGTTCGATGCTTCAAGCCTCTAGTGGGACCACGACATTTATTGATAGTAAGATTTCGACCTTGCAAGGGCTGAAGGAACTTGTTCATATTAGTACAAACTTTTCGTTAGACTTCTCAGTCACAATTGTGGAGACGGTGGCCGACATTCACCTTTATCAAGGTAATCTTGACCTTGTCTGTAGCTATTTCTCCTACCTTGTACCTGTTGTTCGTGAAAGATGTGGTGCAGATCACACAACAGTTGCTTCCATTCTATCAAAACAAGGACTTGTTTTCCTCCACTTGGAAAACTTCGCACGCTCTAGGCAATGCTTTACCGATGCATTAGAGATTTTCACCGGAGCTTTTGGTGGTATTCACCCTGATGTTCTCAAATGCAATGCGGGTCTTGCGAGGCTAGAATGGCTCGGTGGAAGTGAAGAAAAATCTTTAACGCACAGTCAGACAGTTTTGGAAAATGTGGAAAGGATTTGCCAAGTGTCATTTGAGTGCCAATTGAAGCCAAAATTCATGGAATTGTCTTCACAAAGAGGAAGAACACCATCTCCTAACGCTGATCATCAAGAACAACTAAAACTTGAAACTCTGGTTTCTGAGTTTGGTATGGAAATAACCCGGGTTCTCAACCAGCATCAACTGACTGATCTTTGGAATTGTCAAGGAGCACTCTCAGAAAGTGATGATTTTGTGGATTCCTCCGTCCCAAAGGAATTATGTGCAAAGCTGAGCTTTAACTGGTTGAAAGCTGGTCTTTGTTTGTTTAACGTTGGAGTGGATCAAAGTGTCGCTTTTCTCTTTCTCTCGTGTACATATGCAAGTATGTTTTATGATCATTTGAATTGTTCTGAAGTCATTTTACTGAAAGTGATTTTTCTTGTGTGTCATATCAAATCTAGGACGTGCGAAGCCTTCCCGAAAGTTGAAGAGAGATTAAAAAATGAGTACGGACGGCTGAAGAACTTCATTGAGGACAAAGTGAAGAGATTTGTTAAACCGGAAAGCAAAACTCTATTTTTTAACGAAAATACAAACTTGATGATTGCTCTGGCAGTAATCCTTCAGACGTTTGTAGAAATGGAAATGTATGAGATGATAGCTGATGTGCATAGTTTATTTTCTTTCCTGTCAAACCAGCAGTCTCCGCAGGTATCTCAAGTAGTGCTCGTTGAAGAGCTTCAGTTTGCGTTTTTTAGTTCAAACATACAATGTCTTGGCAAACAGGTTATGCACCACCTAATTTTTTTGACGCCTCTTGGGGTGATGAACAATCGAAAAGTCACTGACGAAAACGATACAGATACTTCCTGTAACTCTCAAAGCAAGCAGCCTACAAACTCTTTACATAGAAATGACAACTTTAGAGAAAGGAAATCGAGGCAAATTTTCAAAACTTTGGCACTCAAAACTGATAATAATCGGTTGAGAGGATCTTGCAGATTTCTTGTGGAGTGTCCAATGTCTCGTGGGATTGATATTTCAGCACTAAATGAAATAAATGCGTGGAGTGTGAATGCAGTAGAAGGCAGCTTGCCTCACTTGATCTCATGCAGCCATCAGAACATAGAATTGGCAATACAATATTTCATAGAATTGGAATTTCCAGCCTCTGCGGAGGGCACTCTTTCTTCGATTTCTGGTGATTTTTCCCTTTTGTCACTCGTGCTATCGGCAGCTAAGGATGGTTCAGAATCTGAAACGCAATCTCTGGTTCTCGTCAACACAGAGAACACTTGCGAAGGAAACCTAGCATTTATCTTCCAAGACAAAGTAATTGCGGATTTTCTACTCGGAAAGCTTTTAAAGCAAATTTTAACCAATGAAGACGAGCTTGGTGAGGTTGTGAACGTGGTAGTCAAAGACAGCCAGCTCGTGTTGAAAATCCAAGGTCCACTCATAGGGCAAATAGCAATTCAGGGCCATGAAGACGCCATCAAAGTGAAAACCCAATTGATTCACTATTCTCAAAGCCGTAGAAAAGTTGAGATTGTTCGAGAAGAAGTTCAACCGTGCAATTGCTCTCTTATTGAGACGGTCATCGCTGAAAAAATGGAAAGATGTGCTCGTAGTTTTGGCATTCATTTCGAGACAAAAAGGGATAATGCCTGGTGTGTTGCGTCACATCTGACTGGAAACGCAAGGGATATTTCAATGAGAGTAAGTGTTTTGAATGTTGTATTCATCTCTTTAGGCATGAAACTTGTTCTTCAACCATGATGATGAATCCTTGTTATGCAGCGATTCATCTGCTAAATGTAAAATCCACCTTACCAAAATAACAAAATCAAAAATATGACAAAGTCAGAGTGAGAATGTTTCTTACCGCTTTTTCAGCTACTTTTAGGGATTTGTACATTACAATGAAGAAATCTAAAATATGGTTGTCTTTCAAATTAAAGAACAGCCTCTTTTTGCCTTAAACTCCAAAGCAGGATCAAAAGTTAGTTTTTGGCTATTGTTATAGTTTTTTATTCGTTCTCTTTTTAGGAGCACCAGCCGCTAGAAATGCAGCTTGGAACCGAACGCCCAGGCCGTATTTTTCCGCTCCCAACCTTGCTTTCCAGACAGTCGTTCTTGTCGGAATCATCGACACAAACAGATTCCTTAAGTATTCCCTCAACATGTGATCTTAGTACTCAAACAGAGCTCAGTGACTCTGATGAATCTGAAAATCTGGTGGAGCCCACATCGTCATCCAGTGAAGTAAGTATATCACCATCATTACCTCCATCGTCATCGTCATCATCATCTTCGTCATCATCATCATCATCATCATCAACTGGTGAAGACGGTACTAATGAGGTCTCCAGAAGGTCAAGGTCAGAGCTAGCAGAGAAAGGTAAATCGTCAATGAATTCCGTCTGTTCGTGTGGTTTAGAATTGGAGAAACGCGGAAGAGAAGTTCCAAACGTTGCAAATTCAGAGGAAGAAATATCTAGCATGGCTTATCTCAGTGTTTCACCGTTCAACTATAGTAGCAACGATGCAGAGGAAGGACAGACAAATAAACCACCACTCGTTCCGCCATTAACTTTGAAGGTTCAGACGGATGGAAACTTAAGCGAGAGCAAAGAAAACCTTGAGAAGTGTATTCAAACCGATGATTGGCTAGGGCATTGTATGGATGATGAAGTTCATGGCGCCATGAAAAATGTTTGGTGTGAAAGTTCTGCAATCCAAAATTGTCTTCCTTGTTATTCCTCAACGGGATCTGCTGAACCACCTTTTCAAGGGGAAGGTGGTGTAACGGACAACCTTCCACGAATTACAGACCAGGTGGAGCGTCAGAATCGCGAATCAGTTACTTACTGGAACGACAAGGACGCAAAGCCTGAGAAGATTAGACCACGAGATGATCTGCGAAACACCATAGATAAAAAAGAATCAAATTTCTTTGGTTTAAGGCCTTACTTCCTTGCTCGTCACTCAGAAGACAGTAGCATTACCATTCCTATCGATGACATAGGGAATACAGCGGAAAATGCCAATGGAGGGTTTTCCAACACTTTTTCAAGGAATCAAGGGTCATCTTGTTTAACAAATGAGCAAGACTATCAAGACTACTCCTTTCAAGCCCCATCGTTTCGTTCTGAAAGCTCAAAAGTATCTGCTCACGTAAAAGGTCCAAACCCTTACGGCTCCTTCGATCCTAACCCTGCAGTTTGGGATCTACCAGTGCCTGCTCGTCCTCTAATTTCTCTTCGCTGCAACAGATCGGAGCATCTCCAAACACTTTCCTGCGATGACCCGCGAATTGTACCTCCGCATGCTTTGATGAATGGTGACACGCCGTTGAAGCAAACACCCCTTTTAACACAACAGAGAAAAGTCAAGGATCAACGTACTGATCCTGAAGTACAACGGAAGAGAAACTACGATTTTAAAGTGATGAATAGAAATCCTGCATTTTTATCTAATACTACTTCAATTACCCAAGGCCTGGTATCCCCTGAAATGGAATTGTCCGCTTTGCCACAAGCAGCCATGAACAGAAATCTCACATGGGAAACAAGAACACTTGCAGATCAGGACACTGCTAACCAAAAGCCACCGTCTCTCTCAAATGATGATTTCTTAGCTGACCTAGAGCGGCGAGTGGCCGAAACTTGTTCCCTTGTCGAAAAAACCTTGAAAAAAAGAGAAGTAAAGGAAAAGGCAATGAAGGAAAAAGAACGAAGAAAAAAAGAAGAGCGGGCAAGGAAAGAACAACAAGAACGTGAAAGAAGAGAAAGGGAGGCAAGTGTAACAAGACAAACGGAACGCAGGAATTACAGAGAAGAAGTCAGTAACCCGACGAGTGGTGGAGGAGAAACACCTACGCAAACATCAGCTGGTGCTGAGGGTCGACAATGGCTCTGTGAACATTATAAGCGGCTCTGCCGTGTCAAGTTCCCATGCTGTGGAAAGTTCTTTCCCTGTCATCGTTGTCATAACAACTCTGGGTGTCCAAATGATAATTCCAAAGCAAGAGAGGCGTGTTATGTTGAGTGCTCGGTTTGTAGCCATCAGCAAGAGGTATTTAGACATATCTTTTATTTAAAATTTCATAAATGTGGAAAGGGAGAAGTTACATTTAGACTGTATGCGATTTCTTTTTAATGCTTTCTTCTTTTTAAGATCAACCAGGACGCCCAAACCTGTGCCAGATGTAAAACAAAGTTCTCGGCATATTTCTGCTCTATTTGTAAACACTTCACGGGCACAGACAAAAATCCATATCACTGCACAAAATGTGGTATCTGCCGGTAGGTGAAACGATATTCATGACGAAATTCCTAGTTTTCTGTTTGTTTCATGATATTCATGTTTTCCAAAAAGTAAGGCAGTAATTGGCCTACTTCAATACCAAGTGTTACCGAATAAATGGAAAGAACATTCTTGCCCTAGCCCAGGGCGAGAGCAACGCTTAATAAGAAAGAGAGACGCCCTGATCGATACGCACGTGAAAATTACCATTTCCAGTGTTTTCTCATCCGTCTTTGCGAAATCGTAATAAAAAAATATTGAGCAGCACTGAATGCTAGTTTTTGTTCCTCATAGGCATCAGGTTTCCTTTCATTAGATCGAATCGAGTAGAAATATAGGGTTCTCACGTCGCATTATAAATTTATTTTCTTTACCAGTCATCTTAAGTTTTGCTCGAGTATTTACCTACGAAGTGATGTTCCTGTTTTCGTTTCAGTATCTTCAAAGACCGCTCCTTCCACTGTGATGTGTGTAACGTCTGTCTGGACAAACGGCTAGAGGGAAGACATTCTTGTCGAGAAAATTCAGGACATGATGAGTGCTGCATCTGTTTGGAGGTAATGACTTACTTTTCGTACTAACACTCAGTTGCTACAAAACTCCCAGAAAAGGGAATTTCTCTGCCTTGTTCGTTTCACATCTTTTCTTGTTTGTCGGGTATACTTGTTAAATGATTGTCAGTGTTTGTGGATTTTGTCATCGGTTGTACTGTATAATTAACATTTTGTGTTCTTATGTTGCTGTGAAACACTACGTTATTTGTTGTGTTCTATCTATAAATTTAGCTTTATAAGTCAATGTTTATGCTCGATTAGTATAAAGCAACTGCACAGTTTTCACTGCCGTTAAGTCTGTATTCCAATAAGGTAAATGTTTCTTCGTGTCATTGGAACGTTTTCTTTTCTGCTGGTGTAAGAGTATGGATTTCAAAAAAAATGTCTAGAGATACCCGTGACACTGGTTGCACACAAAATCCGCTCTGCAAGGGAAATATTGTCCAATAGCTTTTTCCCTTCTAGTGTAATTATAGCCTTGTTGTCGACAGTAAAAGTGAAATCTGGTAAATGCAATGTTTGAGCGACAAATCTAGCAACATACCAAGAGAGCACCTGATTTTTTCTCAGCAGGGTTCTGAGTACAAAAGAAAGCGTTTTAATAGAATTGTTCGAAAAAGAAATGATTTTAAAAGTTGAATTTATGGATAATACCTCCAAATACCTTTACTTAATGGACGTTTGGAACATTTATTTTCAGGATGCATTCAGCGGTTGTCAAATCTTGCCATGCTCACACAAGGTTCATAGAGAGTGTGCCATTGCAATGATTCAGAATGGCGTGTAAGTATGCTCACAAAGTCATGATTTTTTATGAATGAACTAACATAGCGAAGAACGCGTTACTGCTCTCCTTCATTTGACGGTATCTGGTTAAAATTCTGAATCGGATTTGTATGAAGAGTTGTGGTGGAGGCTGTAGGGGGCAGTTGCCTGACTCTGTCCATCTCTCGACTTCTAGCTGCGTCTTTTTGCCTCTTCTTTCCTTTTAAGGAACTTGTCTTTGTTTCAATGGAATCTCTCATTGATTTGTGATGTTACCTTCTGACTGGCTGTTGTGAGTAGCTGGGTTTTTGTCTAATGACACTCGAGAGGAAAATTTTCTTTGCATGCAGCCTCGGAACAGTTCTGAATCCACAGCAGTGCTGGGTCGATTGTTAGCTTTACAGTCTCTTATAGTTTTACCCGTGATTTTGCGGTGATCTTGACTTGAATATTCTCGCGTTTAATTCAAACAAGTTTAAGTTGCATTTGCCTGAAATATCTCCTTCACATTTGCAGTCGTACCTGCCCAATTTGTCGCCATCCTCTATACAGTCAGACAAATGGCAATGAGTGAGTGACAACGTCCATCCCAGGCCCTTCTCTTCTGGCCTCGTTGATAAAATAGAGAGGACCCTGTGAATGGAGCTGAAAGGATGATTTTTTTTATTTCCTTTTGGTAATTGTTAGGTGTTCAGAGTTTTTTAACCTTCTAGCATAAAGTTTATAACAGCTTTAGTATTTAAATTCGGTGGAGTTGTCTGATCGTCCTGGTAAGAAGGCACTACCTACTCAGAACTTCTCACGCCCAGACGATCAGACTACACAATTATATGTTGCTCCAACTTTAAATTATATATTGTATTACCTTTTTTAGTTTGATTGATAGGTACATCTTTACGTAGCTGTGATATTTCGAATTCGAACAAATGTAGTAGGTTTAGGTGTGTGAGGTGCTGGTGATATGTGGGTCTCCATAATCAAACTATCAAAACGTTACCGCTAGTTGTCAAATATTGAGTTTTTTACCAACAACCCAGAATTTAGAGAGGCAAATTAAATAAGTCGTCGATGCTGATCTCAAACTTCGCGTATAGAAAGCCTGGCTTAAGATTTCCTTAGGTATATGTATCAAGGATATTGAGTTGCTTTGGTAATGAACGATACTGAGCGAAAAAAAAAGCAAACAAACAAGGACAAAACAGAACTAATATCATCGATTATTCTAAACGTATTACTATACAACACAGCATGTATTCTAAAATGATTCGATTTATCCCAGCGGTTCTTTTCTCGCAAATTTTGGCAACTTCGCGGGTCATATTCTAAGATCTTAATCTAAGGAATAGCAGAGCGGTTATTCGCTCAAAACGCAGCCCGTTCTGTTTAGTTTTTTTACATTTTCTATTTTGAATTTCAAAGCCATTGATATTTGAGAAACAGCATTTTCGGACCAATGATTACCGTAACTTTCAATAAATGGGCTCCTGGACAACCAAAAGACAAAACTTGCAAAATGGAAGGTAAAATTTTGCATTAACTTTCATGTGACTTCGCGTCCATTGGTTGTTACTAAACCACACTCCGCTTGAACGGTGAGCACAACTTATTAAGATGCTACCTCATATCTCCTTATCCCTGTTTGGCAAAACTATCTCCTAGTTTCGTTTGCGAGAATCACGGGGTATCTTTTGATCAATATCTTACCTATGATGTGCATATCACTTAAACAGCCTCTAGTTGCATGAACAGTTAGTACAGATAAGTAGAATTAAACGCCTCTTATACAAGAAAAGACTTTCATTACTTATAAATAGCTTTGCGTTAAGTAAACTATTTTATTGTTCCTAAGTGTGGAAACATGTTAACGTAATCTACACAAACTGCAGTTGGTACAAAACTTTGCTGCCAGAGTTGTATTAGGTGTAAGGAAGTTCGACCATATCTCTCAGGGACAGAGATTTCTCTCATGGTTAGATGTTACGGAGAAGGTTTTATTTAACGGCTTAGTTTTAGAATTCAAATGTGTAAATGGCTTAGCTCCAGATTATTTAGGTAAATATTTGTTAAACGTTCAGCAGTTCACGACAAGAACACAAGGGGATGTCCATAGGACAAAGGACAAAGGACATTTTACTTTTGGTGTCCAAGGGAATGGAATGGGCCAGCCGACAATAGTAAGAACACTTAAAAAATTAATAGTTTTAAGCAGATACTTTCAATATGTTTCATAATAAATAATTTTGGATATATTTTGAATAACTTTGAATATATTTTGAGTTTAATTAAGTTCCTGAATATAAGTTTTCTTAATCACCAGCATTATGTAATAGTTAACATTGTGACTGAAAAGCCCTGTTGAATGGAGTCTCAATGAAGTATGTATGTATATATTAAACATTGTGTAAATACGCCACCTATTGTGGGTTGGGTGCTGAATCCAATCATTGTATATATATAGCACAAAATTATGAATGATTCAGAGAATAAGCTGCATGCTTTTAGTAAGTCTCTTGTTCATTATTTTGTTTAAAAAGCTGTAATCTCAAATACATTTGCGAGTGCGACCGTATTCTTGAAGTGAACCTTTCAGTCACGTGATCGTTATAAAATAGAAATAATATTGTGGAATTCAAATTTTAAGTCTTGGATCAGTATAACGACGTTTAGAGGAACAGTCGTGATGTCATACTTGTAATGTGTGGACTATGATGTGGGACCTCTGAATTTATATCTCAATCATTCGAAGCTCTAAACTGTCTCTGATAGTTAAGAAATAGAAATTTGAGAGCTCATGAGTTAAATCTTCACTAGGCTTACTGTATGCATACTCAAACGCTTATTAAGCTCGTATATGAGAACATCCCGCAAACTGTTAGGATCAGCAGTGTCGAAAGCTTCGTGTGAGTTAAGTTATACAAACAATTAAAGTGGCTCTGAACATGATCTGCAGATTTTGAACGAAGTTATCAGGAAGATGAATCTGGATAAGCTAACCATTAACCATTGATAAAAATTATATAGGTAAAATAATAATGATGATTCAGCAGAGGAGGGTGTATGTGGAATGAAAATTAGTACTGACATTTTTCTCTAAAATCAGGGAGTAGTTTAAAACCGATGATGTGACATATGCTAATTTAAAAAGAAACGTTGTTTCACGTGATCAAAAAGGAATCCTACAAAATATAGACTGAAAGCTTATTTCATCGAAGAAGTAGGTCTTCCGTTAAAACTTTTGCGGGGCTTCTCCGCTCTAATATGAATGTTTAATTACCCGTGACGTCAACATGAACCGAGCCCAAAACCTTATAAATTATTCGTAGCCCGTTCACCTCTGGTGGTACCGACATCAACGTCCCGACATCAAAACATCCGCGGGGCTTTCCCGCTTCAATTTGAATATCAATTGTGAGGTAAACACTGACCGAGCCCAAACCCTTACAAGAAAAACCGTGTTAGTTTTTCAATTCCTCGTCAAATTGTTCGTAGCCTGTTCTCCTCTGCTGGTACCGACATCAACCAGATGAAGAAACGCAATTTGGAAAGGCTAGAGAGGTGAGCTAAGGAGATCTCATTAACATCATTGACGATATGCTTGTTTAGTTTAATTAAACAGGCCCAGACTTGTACTTTGTGTGGGATAGCTTGTAATTATTTAATTTGAATGTGTTCTAGACACCAGTAAGTTATTCCGTACAAAGGTCGAAATTGCTTGTCTTTGTTCGAAGGGAAACGTAAACAAAAAGTGTTTGATTTGTTTGCTGTTTAAATTCGTTCATTTTGTTGGCTCTTTTTTATCATGGCCAGGTGGATCGTGTGTTTTACAACTTTTGTAATTAGCGACTTTTAAAAATGGGCCAAAAGTGTAATAAACAGGAAATGTGTAAACTTTAATGACCCATTAAAAGTTTAGTTTATCAAGTATCAAACATAAACGAATGAATAATCATAAAATTAAATGGACAATGGTGCCTGTTATAAGCATAATTTTGGCATGAAATGAAGAAACGGCGATAAAGTTCAAATGCCAAATTCTCAGGAAAAAAAGTGAATGGTAAATGAAAGGTAGCTCTTTTCCTTCGTGAAATCCTCCATCGAATCTTTAAATCTGGACAACAGAGGCGCTGCTTGTTCAATTTGGATCTTTTGATTCTTGGCTGATTCGAAATTCTTTATTTCCCTGCGTCTTTCTGGATAATATCCAACAACACGCTGGGAGTCAGTTGCTGGCGTCTGTAGGGTCATTTCAAAGTAGCTGTTTTTCCGGTTGTGTGCAGTCTTCCCTGGAGAAAGCAGATGTACGTAGCCTTTTACAGTGATTGATGCTGTAAGAAATTTAAGCATAATACAATAATTCCGTAATGCCCTCACGATACACAGACATGGGTAAAATCTGAATTTTTTTAAAGTCATTAGTATGGAGACGCGGTCGAATGAACATCTCTTCGGATCGCGAACGGTTTTGAAGAAAATAAATTTAAGCACTCACCAATTTGGGACGCAAAACAAAGCTTTCCAATCATTTATTACACGCATTCACCAATTGGCTGTTGAGTTTCTTAGAAATATAGCAAGGTCCAATTTTAGGCCTTACGATTCCTGTTCAAAACAAGTCAGAATATGCTGAACTCATTGGAACCAATTTCTCACCGTTCATTTCCCATCACAAATAATATTTCCATTCCATCACGTATGTTTCTTGGAATGAACATTTTTTTATCTTTCTTCATCTCCAGTTTCAAGTAAGCTTGGATCTATGGGCCCCACAATGTGGTCTATATTTCCCAGCATCACTTTGCATTTTTTCACGGCAGGCGCCTATCTCCAAGTGCTACTTCAGTTTCAGTCTTTCAGTAGCGCAGGAAAGGATAGCTTAGAGCGAAGAAAAATTAGGAGGTATATAGACACAAATACCGATTTTTTTTTTTACGTCAAAGTGAAGTTATTTTGTCTGAACTTCACTTTAATTTACTGAAACTTTTTATAATACATAAATGTGAAATTTCATTCCCCGCATTCATGTCAGTATTTGCATTCTCTATTTGACGACACTTTTTTGGCAGCTTAGAATTTTCCGTTTTGTTTTTAGGCATACATTTTCGTTGGTGTGTGGCAAGTTTGGCTTCGGACCTAGTTGATTCTTATTCAGTTTTCTCATTTCCTCAAAGATGCCTCCAGTAATTTGATTGTTTCCACATTTCGCACTCGAAATAACTTTCTACGTTACGTTCTTTCCCTTATGTACGGCCGCGTAGCAACGCACGTGGTAAGAAAAATTCATTGCAGATTATTTTGAATGTTGATTATTGTTTAATTCACCCCAAAATTTTTTGTTGTTTTTTAACCACGTCAATCGAAAGCCAAAAAAGGGAAAAAAGTATTTCGCGGTTTTCTACATGAATACACAAGTCTGGTCGGCTTTGCGGTGTTTACTGATCTACTAACAATTATGTAAGGTAAGTAAGGATCTCGTACGTTTCAGCCTCTAACATCACGTGAAGCTTTGAAAGCATTGAAATTGAGACTTGAAGTCCTTCGCCATATTTGCCTTGCTTTCCATTCATAGCTTTCAGGTAAATGAATGTAACGATTTCTTGAGTAAGCTGAATGCATGATTGCACACGTATGGGTGGAAAATCTAGTAAATTTTTGCTTTAATTTTGTCTTCCCATTATTACTCATACGCAAATAGCGTTTTACTTTGAAAATTATTGAACAATTGCTATACCTTCAAAAGAGCTTGGTACCGGAAGCAGACGATTTATATATATTTCTGTCCATTGCCTGCTTAACTAAGTTTTCGAAAATTGCCAAATAACAGCAAATTGACTGCGACAGACAAGTATTTAACCCCTATCATGTTAAGATATCTTGCAGTTATAATGTAATATGTTGTGCGTAATAGGAATAATTAAATCCCAGATCCCACCCCAGAGACATCTGAATAAATGTTAACAAAGCAGACTTTTCTTGTGAGCAAATTTACGACGATTTGACATACAACGCCCACGCTTTCAAACTTTAATCCTTTCATCAACGCATGAAAATCGTTGGATTGCAAATTGTGGAACTTGATTCGTGACTGCGCTGAATGTGGTCGAAAAACTATATCCAGTCCCTTTTAATTTTTCCTACTCTGCTTTCTGTTTCTACAGCATTGGTTTCCTTAAATTGTGAATACATGTATCATGGAAAACGAAGCTAACGGTTTGACAGACTCCTTCTTGGCCAGACATAATACAAATCCTACCTTACGCTTGGAACTGCTTTCTCGTAATCAAAATGGCTCACGCCATGACCAAGGCACAGGGATGGGGGCAGAGGTAAGAAAGACTGAATACAGCATAGCTTTTGGATGAGGAGAGGGACACTGATTTTGCTTTTCTGGGACTACGTAGCGGGTTTGCTGGGGCAGGAAGGGCGTTGTAAAAGTCATTCTCAATCACCAAAATTGAAGCTGAGATCGCAGCTTTTATCTACCACGACATAAAAACTGGAAAAAACATCGAATGATCCAGTAAATTTGATCGCAGAAGCTTAGTGGAAAAATTTATTCCCTGTATGACAAAAAGATACCTTAGGGAATTGCAAAATAAACTCACGAAAATCGTTGTTTTTTCGCTGTTGCAACTGTCCCCTTGAGGTGCTTTGCGATATCTCTACAGGAAAAAATATTACCAATTTTCATTTACTTAAAAAATAAACAGCTCATAGGTTTATAAGGCATCAAATCGAGCATTCCAAGCGAACAAAATGGGTCTATATCACCCGCTCGAGGAATAAGAATTTTTGAAAATAATCTTATTTTGTTTTATTTCTCCAGATTGTCGGGTCAAACAACACTGCTATCGACTCGTCTGCGGCCGGTTTCTCTTCGGCCGAAGTCTTCCCAACGAACTCTCAAGCTTCAATCTCCTTTAAATTGTCTTCACTGAACATAAGACCTTGGAATGTTGAATCTTTAGAGTCCACGAACAACAGTCATCTTGCGTTGATGCAAGGAGTAGCCAGAGCAACGGTCCAAATGAACAGGAGAATGCGGGAAAGAGAACAGCGTGAATTGGAGCGGGAACAACTTCAAATAAACAAGGACAGAAGGGAAAGAGAGATTAGAATGAAAAGAAATAGAGAAATGATAGAAAGAGAGAGAAGGGAAATGAGAAGATCTAGGAGAGAATGGCAAGAGGCAGGAGAACAATGTAATAAGAGAAGATATTTTCTAGGTACATGAAACCTTATTTCATATAACATTCCTATTGATTTAGAAATTTTTGTACAAATGTAGTAAATACGCATTTTCCACGCAAGATGCTGGTCTATGTAAACACCTAAAAATTTGATGTGTTAAACTTCCTCAAAAATTGCGTTATCAACTTTAGGAGGGCTTCTCACTAGCAATTTTTTTTGTTTAGCTCTAAAAATCGTGATCTTTGTTTTTTCACATTAATGAACAACTTGTTAGCTTTTAGCCAAGTCGCAAAATGACGAATTTCATCATTGAGGTAATCCACAAGAATTTTAAGATTTCGGTTTCTGGTAAAAAATGCTGGTATCGTCGGCTAAAAGTAAACATTCAGCATCTCTTATGAAAAACCAATTGTTAGACAAGATCATATTTTCAATAAGGTACTTTGAGATACGATTATGTACAATTTTTTTCAAAATTTTTCGAAAAAGCAGGAAGTATTGAAATTGCTCTGTAATTTTCAATCAAGGATGGGTCGTCCGCCTTTAATACAGGGACCACTTTAGCAATTTTAAGTATAAGTAGGGGCTTTTCCAGACTACATGATCAATTCCATTTTCAAATTTGCATATTTGCACGACAGCTGTTAATGCCGCCCATCTGAATTCGTTCACTTCGGCAAAGTTTCGATGTGAACGCTATACGTCCTCCCACTTCAACGATTCAGAAGGGCAAAAGATTTAGACACATGAAACATTTTTCAAGCTAACGTAGGTGAGTTTGTCCGGGGTTTGTCGAATTTATTATGTTTGTTTACATTTCGCTTTAATTCATCGAAGTCGAACAGACCTCGACGTGTTCTGGAAATCGTAATTCTGATCGCATCTGGTAGAATTGTTCAGTCACATGATTGTTATAAGGGAAAGACCCGCTCGAAGATTGACTTTCTGATGTACGGTGCGAATATTTTCCTTCAGATCCCTGTACTTTACGTTTTCTCTCGTGTTCATTTTTTTTTTTATTTTTTATTTTTATTTTAACTGAAGACTCCCTTTGTCTGTCTTCAATTCACGCGCTATCTTTGTTGTGCGCCTAACAAAAATGGCGCTTGACGAAGGGATTATTCAGTTAATAAAACATACATGAGGGTTTCTCACAACTTGCTTGTAAACATTGCAACTTTCAAAGTTCGATGTTTCTGTCGTCGTGTTCAGAAAAGCGCTGTATAAGTGCGTGGGAGGAAGTTTCAAGACAAGTATTAGAAACTGCTGCTCTTGAATAACATTCTATCACTTAGTAACTGTCTGATTTTCAGTCAGTTTCAGTTTTCAGTTTCTATTCCTATTGAAATAAATCTTTGTTTCGTAGGCTACGAATGTTCGCAACTTTAATTTGTTTTCAAAAAGGCAGACATGCAATTAAGACAGAGCGTATTATCTATTTAAGGTTGCGGCTGAACAGTAGGGCACGCTCTGAAATGAACCAATAAATGCCCGGGGGTCAAAAATTTAAACATAATTGAATATTTAAAAATAGTTTTAATTTTTTTTTTCGAAAGTAATGGAGGTTTGGTCACTGGAGAAACTTCGATCAAGGCAAAGCATTTGCCACACTTTTCAAGCTAGAGGCTGCAGCGAAACTGAAAAAGCATATCAAAGAATAATTTCATGAACATGAGGCGCGTTCAGCAGACACTGAATCTATGAGGTTTCAAGTGAAAATTTGCATGAAAATTGGTGGCGGGTGTGCAGCCGACTCCTGAACTTCCAAAAATTTCTTGCAAACATCAGCAATCTCGACCTTAAAGTGTGAAGGAACAAGCGTATTTCTGCTCCAAATGGAGGCTTACATATTTTCGCAAATTGTGGGTAAAAATGTTAACGAACAGCTAACCATTCACTGGGTGGGATATGTTCATTTTTCAGTGTTCTTTCGTACTATTTCATGAACAAATAAACGTGTCCTCTCTTTTTAAAATACCACAAAACGCTCTCTCACTTTAAATTGATTTTAAACGAAGACTTATTGAAAGGGTACCTAGACCTTGAAAGTAAGGGAATATCACTTGTGGTAAATCCTCGATTATGATCCATGCAATATTTTTGCTCGCGCGCGACTGGTCTTAAGGTATCACCTTAAAAAATATTCCCCAGCTAAGACTGGGAAATATCCAAGGGTATCACCCAAATTATACTGCTCAATTTTTAAATCTTACGTTCACTAAGATAATGCAAATGTTACATAAAATGAGAAATATTTGTTTGTTAATAGAGTTGTACCAGAGAACATCCCCACGCAGAAAACAGTGAGCTGTTCGTAAACATTTTTTCACGCGCTTCAAAAGATTTGACTGGTTAAGAAACATAATAGCCTCTATTCTGCGTGAAAATGATCTTGTGAAATAAGAGTCATGGCGAAGTCATAAGAGTTTGTATTGGAATATTTACGACCGCTCTTAAGAATAAAAAAATCCATTCAAATTCTCAATGAAAATATCTACTTTCACAGTGTATTGCTTGTTATCTGACCGCTTACTATACTGAAAGGAACCCATTTTAGCGAGTTATCTAATTCTAGGTTCACTACATAAGTGCTTCTCTCCATTCCTTAATTCTGTAATGTTTAATGTATGATATATACATACATTTATAAATATTTTTTTTAACAGATTGTGCCAGCGTTACAGAATTTCTATGATAAGTGACTCCTTAATTTGACATCTATGCATCTGTTGTTTTTAGATATTAGTACCACAAACACTAACGTCAGTGATCCCATTCGCAAATTGAAATTGGGTGAATAAACACTATGACTAAAAATTGCCTAAATTTACTTCAGAAGTAACTAGCTTTATCCACTACCATAGGCTCACGTCAAACCGCCTTGGATATCGCTGGCGCAAGGAAAGATATACTGAGCCTATTTTTAGAAGCGATTCAGCTCGTGAAGTAGTGCCAGGCTCTCAAGAACCTTTCACTCATTTTTAAAAGCTCATTGTTCGTCCAAACTTCCATATCATGACGCTTAAGACTAAGACTGGCATACCCCTCCAGACTAAACTCGGACTCAGTCGCTGTTCTCTCATGGCGCACGTGGAGAGTGTGGGGTATGAAGGGAGAGAACAAGTCAAATATGTTATGTCATATTTGTTTAATTTATCATCATTCCCACAACTCTCCACGCCCTCCGCTTGCCTTGCGGCCTTAGTACTTATATCAGAATACGAAACCACTTCCTCTATATTTATGAGAATTAAACAGAAACCGCATCAATTATGGATGGCGTCCAACAATTATGTCTTCAGCGACGGCTTGCTTTATGTCCTAAACGATTATATATGCATACATAACACACTACCTTGGTTGAGACAGTAATCCTAGTAATCCTAATTCACGAATCATAAAAGAAAATAACATTGTATTAGTTACCTTATCCTGACGATGCGAGCTATTATACATTACGTCACTTCCTTTAAATTTCTGGAAGGGTAGTGGCTTCGAAGAAGATGATAGATTGTGTATTGATGATTATGAAGAAGCTCCCAAGCACTGAATATATCAACGTGCAAATCGTGAAGAGTAAAATATTCATCACAAAATTATTTCCTATATGGTTCAAGAATTCATTTTAGAAAATTTTACTTAACTAAAATCACTTAATTAGTCAAGATAATCCGTTATTTGTGCATATATAGAGGACTGGTAGTTTAAATTTCAGAACTTTCCCGACGCTTCGGGCAAAAAGTTTTAATGAGCTTGTTATTTAATTTTCTCTCAAAATTGTTTGTAAAAAGGGAGACAGTTGTTTAAAAGGATTAGAGATTTTCTTATATCAAAGAGTCATGAAAAATGTATGTATCATTTGTGCCACTCATAAGATCCAGTTGTTTTTTGGCTGCTTCACTCGATGGGATTAGCGTCAAACATCTCCTGCCCACAGGTACCCAGCTTCTATAATGCAGTACTGCTTTACATAAGTGGAAAAACCAAGCTCAAACCAATAAGAATTTGGAGGGTTATCTTGGTTTAAGCACCAGCCAATTTTTTCTTCGCCATGTCACAATTAATTTTGAAAAGTCTTTCGTCATAACTCTTTGGTTTCCTCTGTTATTCTTCACTCTTGAACGTATTATTAACAGACTTGAACCGAACATGAGGCCAAACATGAGTTATATTAAGCGTAAGTTTTCCAATGTTGGACATGAATTTATTTTTCAAAATTGTCTGTTATATTTCACTTCTTGCCAGCTGAGGTAACAAAAACTTTATCCTTCTTTCTGCATGAGTATTGTTACGACTGTCAAATTTCGGGGGCTAGCTATTGAGCACACCATGCTCGATTTAAGGCACCAAGACTCTTGAATTGTTCTTTTTCGCTTTTTTACTTAATTATTTGGTTCTCCAGTACAAAATTCTACTTATATCAAAGCTTCTTTCATTTTTTGTAACTCTGGTTAATCTCTTAGGCTCTCGCACTTTGATTTTCACCAGATACATTTTTTTAAACTGCGAAAATTCTGACTCTACTTTTCTGCACATTGTCTACATTCTTCTGGTCTGCTCTTCTCTCTCTTCATTCCACTCTCCCAAGTGAGTTCTAAAGAACATGCTGATATATTTATTACTAAAAGATATGGGTAGGCATGCCAGCTGGCTGACTTTGGGAGACTAAACATTTGTTGTTAGAACACTAAACCAAACATTTTCCACGAGACTTTAGAAATGAACAACAAAGCACTTAATCATAATGTTTGCGATCAACTGAATCAACCTCTGACTGCGTTCGCCATAGCAATAATTTTACGGTCAAGGTCGAGCGAAACAAAAACAAGATTGACAATATAAAAATTATAATAAACTTTCTAACAGAATTAAAATAAACCGAAATAGTCAGAAAAGAGTTCTTGAAGACTGCTACATATCGGCAGAATAAACAGAAAATTCGGAAAAGAAAGGGTGTATCCAAGGTACCGCCCTTAAAAGAGCTAAGTGCTAGCCGTATAA